ACACACACACACACACACACACACACACACACACACACACACACACACACACACACACACACACACACACACACAGCTAGCTTAAAACAAACAAAAGCCAGGAAACTAGGCAGTTGGGATATCGTTCAGATGGAGTACAAAATATTAACCACCTATACCTTAGAAATCCAGCAGTTATCTGACTGGATCGTGCCAACTGTAATAGGTTAAAAACCCCACTGCTGTTAGATGGAGAGAGAAAAAAAAAAAAGCAAGCAGCCACATTTTCACAAGATTTTTGGATTGCCCTGCGCTGATGGTTAGTCAACAAAGCTATTTCAGGAAGAGGTTTGCTGACAGCAGTGATACTGATAAACAAAGAAAAAAACAACACTTTGTTAAAATAAAAGGACAACCAATAAGGAAAGAAACTGTTTACAAGAGAATTGCAAACAATGTTGAGGAAATAAAAGTACTTGACATTGTCATAATGCTGACTCACCATCCTTAACCTTCCTCATAGTACCTCATTGTAGGGGTAGTGGTCTCCGAACAATAGCTGATCTTATTCCCAGATATGGTTTACTACATACTTAAGAGAGTGATGGGTTAGGTTTGGAGTTTCAGCCTGTGCTTGGTTAAGCCAGATACTGTTTTAATAAATATTTATGTGGTAATTATATGAGGCTGTAATCAAATTCATTCAGCTTGAGCAGTTAAAAGACTTCAGAAAATTACCTTGGTCCAATTAAAGATTTTAGGAACTTAACAGTACTGAAATGTTCATATCCAAGAGAAAATGAAGCTGTTATGTTATATACAGTACAACATTATCAGAATGGTACAGTTTCCACAAATAAACTGTCATGCCCTTCCTCTCATTCTCAGTTTTGTTTTGTTTTTTCAGAGGGGGACATTTTTAAATTTGACACTATAAATAAGACTGAACTAAATCCTGGATCTGAATCTCTTCAGACTTTGGAATGATTCAAATCCAGGTCCAAACTTTGCGATTTTGGCCCATTTTTGTGGTAAATCTTTTGTAACTTTTTAGTTGGTCTTAGGTGAGAAAAAAGGTTGCTTGAATATCTTGGTTGACTAAAGTCAGTGAGATGCCTTTTTTTTGTTTGTTTGTTTGTTAAGTACCCTTACATTGGAAAAAGGGAAACGAGAATACACTTAATTTTACTTATCATGAGGAGTCCAAACTCAGTTTAATTTAAAATACCCTCTTGGTAAAGAAGTAACATACTGAATAACTGTCAATGAATCTCTGAACACTGAAGGATGTGGTCCAAGGCCCTAATGTACTCAAGATGGAGCTATATTCTTTGGTAGGGTCCCTGGATTCTGTGCACTCTGGTGCAGCAAACTGAAAATCTTGCAGCAGCTTTTTTAAATTAAAAATAATTGAATTAAATATGGAATAGAACAAACCAGGACAGGAGCCTCTGTTTAATGTTAAATTCCAGTTGTTTTACAGTGTCTCTGCTTTTTCAGTTTTTAATGTGTCAGATATTTTTATCAACAATACATAACTATTGTAGAATTTTATGCTGGGGGGTTTGGCAGTTGGATAGGGGACAAATAGGGCTTTTGGCTTCTATGAAGGTGTTGGGGGATGTGGTGTTTGTGGATAAGTGTGAGTGCTATGTATCCATTCAGAAATTACCAGCAGTGAAATGTTGAACATTGTTGCCATTTTAATTGTCATCTTTAGGAGTTAATGACCTGTTAAAACAAGTAGGGCAATTTGAACCTCAGGGATGCTTGCAAATTCAAGACAACCTCTTCAGTTTATATTCTCTGCACATTTTTAGTTTCTTTACAACCTTTAGGGTCGTACAGGGCAATATGTTTGACAGACTTAGGAGTGTTGCACAATCCAGCCTGCAGAGACCCATAGGAAAGCACTTGATGACAATACTTCAGATAAGCATTTAAACCTAGAGCAGTGGTTCCCAAACTTTAACAATCTGTGAACCCCTTT